TTTTTTTTTTTTTTTTTTTTTTTTTTGCTGAATGAACAACCTTATCTGTTTTTATACATCTCTGCATCTTATGCAAATGCGAAACTCATAATTTCAAGAGTGTGCGACATTTTCCCCCGCATGCAAAACCAAAACACAGGCACATGATTTGCAAGTTTTTGAACTGTATAACAATAACCATTCATACTGTTGACGATCTGACTACATCAAGTTTAGCGCAAAAACGCATAATCTCGTGAGCAAGTCTGGTGCGGTGCTACTTAGGTTTTACTAGGAGGTGGCCCGCGAGCTTAAATATGTAAATCAGGCCCGCGTGTTGTCAAAAGTTGGCCATGAATATTACAGATAAATTGGGCATGATAAGAAGCTTACCATAAACTGACTGCTGGAAATGTGTAATTCGGCATAAAATACTGTTTTTCTTTTGATTTTCATGCTGCTCCTTCAGTGTTTCGTGCGCTACATCGATAAAACTGAGATCAGTAAGATACAGACCTGCAGTGATTTCAGTCACAACCTCATGGATATTGGGGTTCTTAAGTCACCACTGACTGAGCTAATATGCCGACACTGGAGCAAGCGGTTTTTCCAGCAATTGTTATAATCGGCTACGCAAATTCTAGTAGCCATCTGTCAGTGTATTTGATTTCCTGCTCATATTCCGCTTTGTTTATTTCCGCCCTGAGTTTGTACAGTTTCACTGTCCACTTATTACAAAACCCTCTCACATCCCATCAACACAGCTGTGGTTCTATGTGTGACTCATATGTGAATAACCAACAGCACAGGACTTCCACTGATACAACATTAATTTTCTGTACAGTCAGCTTTATTTCTCCCTTTTTCCTCTTCACCTTCCTTCGGTAATCCACATATCTCTTTTAACATGACAGAATGGGGCACTGTACTGATGATTCCCACCCCATTCCGTACCGATTCTGCCGTCTGTGTTTACGTTTCAGAGCTGAAACTCACACAGAATACCAGCTCAATGTACACAAAGACTTGCTTATCTGGGAGATCTAAATAGCATTTCCAATAACTGTCAAAATCCAATTGCGTCCCTCTCCACGTTAGATCAATAACGCAAACAAATTGCGTATGTTAACACATAGAGGACATCACGTCCCCGTCTTCTTCCAATACCCTAGCCAGAGATATTCACTGTTTGCATCTTTAAAATTTCTGAAACACTTCAGGTGCAGAAATAGCTCGTGCACTGACAAGTGAAACACAAAACTAGTGGAATTATAATAAAAAAAGAAGTTGTGTCCATGAAAAGTAAATAAATTCACTTCTAGAAACCAACTATAAAAGATGTAGGTTCGAAATCTCCGTTCTCTATTTGTTCTCGCACCCCAGAATTTCTGACCCCTCTTATTCTTAAAAAAAAAAAAAAAAAATTACATAACTCATAACAAAAAAAAACTAAGTCTAATTTTTATCGCTCTGAGCAAAATTAGCCTCCACGGGGTACTGCAGATATTGTTGTGCGTAAAAGCAATTCACAAATGGCTGAGTAAACGCCGTCATTAATGAAATTTAGGAAACGCTAAAAGTATGAAATCGGAGTGTTGAGATTTTCTATGAACCAATACCAGAAAAAGTGATGAAAATTAAGCAAAAAAAAAAAAAACAATGCCCTTCTAAAGAATACGTCAATTCAATTATCTTCCGTTCACTTTTTAAGCAGCACAGAAACATCTCAGTGACACTGGTATAAAAGGATTTCACTGCTGTATATTGGGGTTACTTTCGGGTGCGGTAGATGTAGCAGAAAACAGGACTGAGAAGCTTATCAGCTATTTGACTAGGGAGAATTTGGTAAAGGTAAGGCAGATCTGATTACTTAGATTACAATCGCTTCTTTGCGATATTTTCTTTTCACGCTTGGAGTCCCATTAACTAAAATTTATGCCATTTTAGTCCTCGAAGTCCAGGAAGTTAATAACTACATGGTACTTGGTCAGGCAGTACAGCAAGCAGACTGGAGTCAGTTTGCCATTGTGTTTCAAATTTTAATTGTGCGATTAATGGCTGAGAAACGTAAAATGCTAACAGCTACGGCATTTCAATAAAGGCGAAAGAAGCTATACAGGAATGGAAACACTTCCCAAAAAAAAAAAAAAAAATGTTCCAAGACTCCAGAAAAAACCTACCTAAATATGGTATACAGGGTAAGCTCAGTGATTGCAGGTGTTGCCGCAAACGTTCCCAGTTCCGCTCACTATCAAATAACAAACGTAATTTGTTGAACACGGCGCGCTCATGTCGAGCAAGAAGCTGAAAAATATTTCATTTAATTGTTTTGATAAAATAATGAATACAACTATGACAGCAAATGAAAAAAAAAATTAAATAGCCAGCGCAAGATAACAGTGCTACAGCCAGCAAAAACGGGTGGTATAATTTGACAAAAACCTCGACTGTGATCAAAAGTTTTTGATAAGTGGTAATGTGCCACTAACAAAGAAGGAAATATGCAGATTTCATATCGCTATCATTATACAACGTATACCTGTGCAACTACTGATATCCTGCCCAATTTGGCTTCGGCCGAGTTGAAAGGCGAATTCAAATGACTAGGAAGTGAAGATTGAAGGGACAAAAGCAGAAACGGAAGGTCAAGGGTGGAAGTTTTGGTCTCAGGGGCCGCAATGTGGGTGGAGGGCAAGGTTACTAACTGGAGCCTCGGTAAGAAGTAAGAACAGGAAACAAGGGCGGGTTTTATTAAGGAAGGAGGAGTGGGGAGGGGGAAATTTCTGTCGACTTTTTAATGTACTGCATGGAATATAGTGCTCAGAGGAAGCTAGCAATCTTAAAAAAGACGTATAGGACCTTAACCAGGCAAAAAACCGTTATTATAGTTTTCGCAACTCGAAACCGAACCCAAAAATGAGTGCACATTGAGCAGCTGGACCGAGTTTTAGCAGCTGCTTATATCTGTTGGTCTAATAGTCGCAATTACAATAATCGAAATAGTGGCAACATTGTCAAAAACGTAGTAACTCCCACTACACATCAAGACAGCTAAAGTCCTGCAAAGTTTTTTTTGCGGAGCACCGTTGTAAAGCGGTTATTACAGAAGATGAAATAAATGTCAAGAGTCCCGGCAGGCTGGCCAGCTGGCCAAACGGCTGGTGAATAAAGGGAAAGCCAACCGTGAATAAGCGGCTGTTTCAGGCATACTTATTTATGTACGTTGCATCAATCTAAACCTATAACTACTACATAATATTTGCAATCCTAAAGTTTTAGCAACCGCTGTAACAAAAGAATTCTTGAAAGCGTGCCAAAAAAGTTAAAAAATTAATTTTGGCGATGAGCGACGGAAATATATTCAAACTCACGTTCCAAGTCTTCGTCAGGCGATAAATGGCAAGACTCTGCACAGCACTGATAAGAGAAAATGTTGAATTCAAATTATTCAAATCGTATAAATACTGCAAAAATTCAAAACTACAGGTTATAGCATGATTTCTAAAAGTAAAAATAAAAAGTGCGGTAACGGGAATCATCAAAAAAATAAGAACTATAAAATCAACGAAGTTTCAAACATGTTAGCTTTCAAACCTTGTACATTCTAACCTATTATAGCAAGTGAACTAACGCATCGATCCTCACAAAAATTACCGAAATTAAGCCAATCAATGGACGACGAATCTTCAGTTTTACTAGAATGCGCTTGTCATGCTAGTTCTTCCACTCTTGGGCAACTTGCATCATGTTTTTTTTTAAAAAAACTTTAAAAAAAAGCTTACTTTTGCAATTTTGATGAAATGTCCCAAAACTTCGGAACGTTTACTAGCCTCTTCATGTGATAAGATCTCCCTTTGGCACCACAAGCAAACCGCATTGAACCGATCCGTAAATGCAACAATATTTGGAGCATCGGCACGTTTGCTCTTTTTTGCCCATGCCCCATTTGCCAGCTCCTGAAAAGAGACCTCTCTTTCCTGGCAGAGCTTCAAGACCTCTGAACTTTTTTCAGTGTTGCACCCAGTTTTTTAACGTAACGACAGTTTTTGACGTAACAACAGCAATAGTGACAGTATGATCCCTTCAAGTACTTAAGTGGCAAACAGATATTTCTTGATCTGTCTTCACTATTTCAAATTCCCCAGTGTGAAAAACAGCCCCTCTGCAACTTCTGATTTGCCTCGACGGCAACGTATTAATGGTATACGTAAAGAAGCACACAAAATTGCCGCCAGCCTGCTTTTGAGTGTAAGGGGCGAGAGATGGTCCTTAGAATGTAAAAGTGTAAATTGGCAATATTTAAAAATCAAAAAATTCGTTTTTCAAATACGATGATTAATGGAGGTGTTGATGCTACGAGCTGATCGGACACTCGTATGGCCCTCAGATGTTCCGAAACGGATTTTTTGATCTCTAAATATTGCCAATTTACATTTTTACATTCTGGGGACCACCTCTCGCCCCTCACATAAGCAACCTTCGAAAGAAGGAGCGACGTTGCACTGCCGGTGGGTGGTTACATTTAACTTTTTGCGGCAATAACGACCACAACAGCTGTAATAACAGACATACAAGTAAGTGAAAAATAAGTATTTACGACATGAAATAATCAAATATTAATGTAATAAAAATTTCAATGCTGGGGGAAAAAAAGCTCATAATGTTAAAAAATTAATAAAGCTTGAAATTCATTATAAAATATATTATAATGGTAAGATATTTCGGTCCACCAAGCCCGAATAACTAATTATACGATTCCAGTAATGCCAGTAATTCATTAGAACAGCTAAAATTTTTAAAAAAAAAAAATAAAAATATAAAATAAAGTAACGCCGATAATCACAGTGCACCAATTGTTCCTCCAACCAAAGTTAATGCTCAAAAATCATGATCGGATCAGTTCCGAAAATTTGATTCAAAAAATCAAACCCCTCGTCACAACTCATTTTTTCTTTTTTCTTTTTTTTTAATGAAAACAATTCGAAGCAGCCCAGTGATCAACCAGGCACTGGCAAATCTGTTGATGAGTCACTTTTCTGACAAATGCTGGAAGCAAACCCATGATGATTTCCCTGCATGCACCGGCAAAATGCTGACATAAAACGGATTAAAAATTGTAGACTGAAAAACCGAGGCCAACAAAACTCAAAAGAATAAATTATCAAGCGGTCAAACAACCAACCATTACATCCTTCCTCAACTCTGGAAGAATTAGAACTCTCCCAGCATGGATGATTCCCTTTTTCGAAGACTGTGTAAGACGTAAAATAATAGTAGTGAGGTTTCCTTACAGTTATTTAAGAGAATTTAAATTATTTTAAAAGGATGTAAATAAACTGTGTGTGAATATTACTTATGTTCATAAAAAGCCGATAAAAGAAGATAATAAATAGCAACGCACCCCAGACTAGCCGATGCGATTATGCGTTTTGTGCAATTCAGCCCATCGAACGATTACCTATTAATGATTTTCACTTCTTTATACTTTTGTCTATGCAAAAATAGTTCAACAATTTGAAAATAGTTAAAAATTTCACGCACCAGCTCATGAAAGCTGAATTCAAAACCTTGAAGGATGAATATCTATCCGTGATTCCCGAGTTAATAGTTTATCGGCCAAAATTCTCACGAGGCCGTAGGTGATACTCAACAACGAAACGTTGAATTTGAACAGGCAAGATTGAGCGTGGGCAGGGGGTTATTACTTTAAAATTTCAGCCTCCCAGACTCCGTGGTTCCTGAGATATTAATTTGCCCGTAAAAAAATTTTATGGGGCCGTACGTATTACCCGCGGGTACAGGAAGGCTGAATTTAAATTTGCTGCATTGCCCGTTGGCGGGGAACACTATACCAAAATTTCAGCTGCCTAGCTTTTATGATTCGCGAGTTGAAAGTGCGGGACAAAATGTGGGACACACACACACACACACACACACAGACAACCTCGTGACAATATGCGTTTTGTAACGCTGTTACACAGCACAAAACGCATAAAAACGAAAAATCTGAACAGCAATGCACCAGTCCATTAAGTCGTACACATTCCTATTTAGCACCACAACTGCACTTCGCAACCACAACGGCTGCGGTAATAGCACGCATTTTTAAGTGCGTTTAATAATAAATACAATTTAAGTTCAATCGAAATAAAACAAAGCGCTAGGCATGAACTACTATAGCACTGTGTTTTTGCTGTTGCTGCTTGGCATACCTGGCATGTAATTGCCTTGAAAAGAGGGAGATCGATGAGCGTAATCTGTTCTGCAATGTCTTTCGGCTGCACTTTGAGCAAATCAAATGTCACCGGATCGTAATCCCTCTGGTACAGCTGTTGCTGAATTACAAAATGTCATGTTCAACAATACAATAGACAAATGCAGCGCCACAAAAAGAAAAATTTATGGTCCTCAGAAATGTCTGCACCAGAAATGCTCCACTTAAATTGAAGTATTACTAAAAAATTCCCGAAAAGCGCCAATAATGGAGGGGTCAAAGACCGGGGTTAAACTGAAGTATTATTATTACTATTATTATTGGTACTATCATTACTATTACTATTATTATTATTGGTATCATCATTACTACTACTATTATTACTGCCATTATTATCACTATTATTATTGCTGTTATTATTATTACTATTATTATTACTATTATTATTACTATTATTATTACTATTATTATTACTATTA